ACCTTAAGAAAAGAAAATAAGCCACATTCTTGCTTTAAAAAAAAAAAACTAAGTTTTCTTTTGGCTTCTGTATGAGAAGTGGGTAGTTGATTAATCACAGATCTTACTCACCTTTAAAAAGTTCTATTTCAGGGTGGTGCCTATGGCTCAAAAGGGTATGGCACTGGCCTCATATGCTGGAGGTGGCGGGTTCAAACCCAGACCCAGCACAAAAAAAAAAAAAAAAAAAGTATTTTTCAGAAATCTATCCCCTCGATGGCCTGAATTTAGGTTATTGGATTTCTATGGCCTGTTTCAGCTGCGAAACTCGATTGGTGTTTCAATCCCCACACTAGGTTTGGATTCAGAATTTTGAGTTGCAGGTGTGGAAATGTCTTTTCTTGAACCTGTCTTGCCTTAATATCTCCAACTCCCTCTTTTTCTCCCTTTTTCCTGGGAGAAGAAATCTTTAAGGACCAAGAGAAAATCAGAAATGTTACTGCGTAAAAGGACTGTAACTTCCAGTCACACAGAAGATGCCAGGGAAGGCGACTGAGGAGGTGGAGAAAGCAAGACAGGGCCAAGCAAGTGTCTCCGAGTGACTACCAGGTTCTGATGGTCACCTTTGCCCAGCAACCAGCTGCTCTGAAGTCAGCCAGTTACCCTCAGGACGGCTCTGGGTGGATTAGAATCAATTGCTTCTGCTAATACTAACAGACACTGTATCCGGCTTCCCACAAAAGGCCCTGTCTTGGTCAGTGCAACCTGCTATAGCAAATCAGCATGGACAGGGTGACTGTGAACAATAGGAATTTCTTTCTCACAGTTCTGGAAGCTATAGGCTGAGATCCGGGTGCCAGTGTAGCAGAATGCTGGTGAGCTTTCTCTTCTGGATTGCAGACAGGCCACCTCCTCATCGTATCCTCACACAATGGAAAGAGAACAAACTCGCTCTCTATCCCCTCCTGAGGGCATTAATCACATTTATAAGGTCTCCATCCTCATGAGTTAATTGCCTCTGAAAGGTCTCACCTCCAAATACCATCACAGTGGGGATTAAATTTAACATATGAATTGAGGGGCGGGACACAAATGTTCTGTCTATAACAGACGCGAAAACTTACTGCTTGGCTGAGAGCACCACACAAGTGCCCTGATGGCACCTCTGCGTGCATTTTACAGGCGGGAGTCAGAAAGGGAGCAGCAGAAGATGAAGGCCACCTTTCTTTCCAACAAAATTTCCACTCTTCTTTGCACCTAGAAAACAAGCGGTGTAGCTAAACTGCTTAAATCTCCATTCTTCGTCATGTACAAATCAGACATTATCTCCCTTCATAGAAATCCTGCCTTTTCTTTCAGATAACTGGCCAAAAATAAAACGCCACTCTTTCTCTCTCCCTGTAAGAAAACACATCAGGGTAGACATGTTGAAATTTATGACAGTAGATGGAAACAATTTGCCTCTCAGCTCTTACCGCCCCAAACACCCAGGACTGTACATTACTTCAGAGAGTCAGTCCTCACACAATGGCTTGTATTTTGTCAGGTTTGCAGCAAAAAAATACCCAGCAATTCTTTTAAGTACTGTAATTTTGAAAATTTCCATGTATTTCAGAGGACATCATCTAATGGTCAATCAGACAAAAGCAGCAAAAAGAATGACAAATTCTTTCAATAAGCAGATCAGAATCTTGCCAAACTTTACGTGATAAACACAGTTTACCAGAAGGGAACCTTTTGTTCCTTGCTTAGGAACCCGTTACAGGAAACTTTTCTAGCTATGCAGCTGTCATGGGTTCAAGCGAACCCATTTCATCTCAAACGCACCCTCTTTCACAGAGTTAGGAAGTTACAATGCCATCATTTTTCAGTGGGAGGTTATGAATGGTCAGGATTGTCTTGATGTGGGGATTTAGCTTTCTTTTCCCTTCTTTTCCTGCAGAAGTTTATCATTAATCATTAAGGTTTCTTTGTCTTCAAGAAGAAGGAAGTTTACTTTTTGGTGGATTAACTTGTTGCCAGAGACCCTGGGAAGTAGTGAGGCGCTATGTGGGGAGCACAGAGAAGAGGTCTGGGCACTTGCTCGGTATCTAGGACAAAAGCAGAGAAGAGATGAACTTCCCTGTCAAGAGATTCTACTTGATTCAGAAAAGGAGAGGAGAGAGAAAGGGGAAGGGCCATTGTGGCATTTCTATAAAAACAAACCACGGTGTTTGAGACATGTTTCACATCATGACGGACAGCTCCCTGAAAGACACCGTGTGAGCATCCAGAAGCCGTCTGGAGCACAATTCTCAGCCACCACCTGCAGCCAGGTAACAGGCTGGCTGTACTTTCTGGAATCTGGAGAGGATTTCCCTTTACTTCCAAATAATTTTCCCAGAGATAATCCAGATAGAGTAATGTTTGTTTATGCCCAAGAATGTGCTGGGTCTACATCAGACTTATCCTGTGTAAAACTCTACCATTCGTCACACGCACACACCAGGAGGACCCCGACCACTTGAGAACTCAAGACAAGCACAGGTCTCAACATACAGGAAAGCATGTGGGATATGCAACAATGAATAGAGACAGATAGAGAAGCACTTGACCTGAGACCCTGTTTTGTCCTCTCATGGAAAAGAAGTGCTTAGAATCTAATAAGTAGCCTAGCTTAATTTGTTAAGGTAGAACACTTAGTCGGGATTTGAGAACCAAGAATATTTACCTGCCTGGAGGGCTCACTGTGCGTCTCTCTATCTCTCTATTGGAAACCCTCTGTAGTCAGAGGGCGAACCATGTAAAATTGAAAATGTTCAAATATTTTTGACCTAGCAAAATGGCAGTGTTGTGTCATCTAGCATAACAATAGACTATTTAGAGGGGTTGGAGAGCCAAACAGTGATGGCTACAGAATTTTAGGTAAGAAGGACTTAGAAGAGGTAGGTATTCTGGTGGAGATGGGAGAAGATACCTAAGGTCCTTGTAATGAAACTGCATTTTCTCAGCATCACACTGCTTTTACTCAGAGTGTTTATTTGGAATGCTCCTCTCCTCTGTCCTTGCTATATAGCCACTAATTTCGACCATCTTTCTAGATCTCTCTATAATAAACATGACTAAAAGCAGGTTTAGGCCCCAAAGCTTTGCTTTCAAACCTGTTACTTTTGGCTCGGCACCTAGGGGTCAAGTGGCTAAGGCTCTAGCCACATACATCTGAGCTGGCGGGTTCAAATCCAGCCCAGCCCATCAAACAACAATGACAGCTGCAACAAAAAGAAAAAAAAAAAAAAGCCAGGCATTGTGGCAGGTGCCTGTCGTCCCAGCTGCTTGGGAGGCAAAGGCAGGAGAATCGCTTGAGCCCAGGAGTTGGAGGTTGCTGTGAGCTGTGATGCCCAGGGCAACAGCTTGAGGCTCTGTCTCAAAAAAACAAACAACAACAACAAAAAACCTGTTACTTTCTTTCTATACTTTTCTTCTTCTACCATGACTTTATCACGTCAAAATCTGAGATTCCCAAAACAATATACATACACTCATGTATATGTCCCATTCTAAACTCTATAATATCTTACTTTAAGGAGCAGAGAGTGGTTCAATCCAAGGTCCGTTACATGGTTCTCAAGTTAACTTTTCTGGGAAACTTCCTTCAAGTCCTTTATAATATGTCCCTCACCAACCCCCACATCATATTACCAAATCCTGAATCACTTTCCATCCACAAATCTCTCATTTCCTTTTATGAACTCAGTAGAGATGTTTTCTGTGTGCCGCTCTGATTACTCACAATTTCTTCCTATCTGTTCCTTCTCCTGGATGCTGCCACTATTCAGACCCTGGCTGCCTTCTACCTGGATTTCTGTGTCACCTTCCCATCTTTCTCTCTTCGTACCAAACCATTCCCCACACTGCTGTGAACTCAATATTCCTTGTATTGAAGAATATAAAAATATTTTTATATCTTATGAATCCGACCCAAAGATGAATGATTCCTTACTGAACAAGATGGAAAAAAAAGAGGAAGAGAAACAGGAACTGGCTTACGGCTAGTCACCAAAAGCAGGACAGGTCACCACAGTTACTGAGAAAATCACAATGTCTATTGTATTCCAAGGGTGTGGTTGACTCAGTCAGGATTCAGGACACAGACAACATCAAAATTTTGAGGAGGAAGAATCAGATTCCCAATGGGAATGCCAAGTAACCCCAAGAGTCACAAAGGATGATGAACACTACATTCCACTGGAAATAAAAGTGGAGAAACTGAGTCTGTTTAAGACTCCCTTCTTTTTCTTAGCCTGGTGAGAATCTGGGCAGGACTGTATTATCAGAGAGGGAGTTAAGTCCATTCTTATGGAACTAGGGGAATATTGCCGAAGTTGATCATCCTATTATTTCTCTACTGAAAAACGCTCAATGGCTTTTTATTTCCTTTAATTGTCAATGAAATCCTGACCATGTCCTTCAACCTACTTTCCTATCTTTGTCTTGAACAGTTCCTCTGCACATACCTAGTAATCCATTCAACCTAAAAAATGCCTACGCTTTTCCACTTGGTGCTTTCATGATTTCCTCTCCCTAAAATGGTCTCATTTCTTCATCTGCGCTATTCAAAATACTATCTCCCTTTCAAGTCCTGGCTCAGAGCCACCTTTTCCCAAAGCATTTCTGAATCAGGAGACAGACTGAATTGCTTAACGTTGCACTTCTCACATTGCATGCTTTATTGAAACCAAATCCTACGGATCTAATTAAATGTCTGCAAATAGTACTCAGAAAAAATACATTGATTTCATCTTGTACTCTTCCTTATACCATGAACGTATTACACTTATCAAGTCTCTTCTATGAAATTATAAACTTTTCTTTTTTCAGACAGGGGCCAAAAATTAACTCAGTAGTTCTTTGTGAAGCCTATCACAATGACTTGTACCAAACTAGCTTTAATCAAGGTTTACCTACCTTATTAAATTATCTCATAATATAATTAAATTGTATAGCTCTGTATGTGAGCATCCCCCCCCACCCCCACCCCCACCCAGGGAAAAGCACAAATGCAGTCTCCCACCACCACAAATTATGCTGTCGAGTTTCCCACATTTGGGGAAGCAACAGGAGTCAGCACATGCCGAGTGCAATGGATGAGCCTCGCCCTGGGTAAACCACCTTTGTGATCGTGCTGTCTCCTCTGCCAGGGAAGTATCAGTACTTGAGCATTTCCATTAGCTCTCTTGAGCATGTTACAGTGAATATAGATGTATTAATGCTTCCATTCAAATCTCGATTCTCCAAGTCTCTACCTGCTGAAAAGGCTTTTATCTCTTACATAGTTCCCTTACTCCAGTATTTTTGAGAATATCCAATTGTTCTAGCGGTATCCATACATTTGTCTTGATGGTCACCAAGTGCAACTGCTTCCCAGTAGGAATCAGGCAGCCCAGGCCCACAGTCGTACTGAGTAGCTATTCTACTCCCAACTCTATTGCTGCCTTTCATGTCACTAGGAGGTCAGAGATCAGAAATCCTCATCATTGCTTTGTGGAGTGAGAAGGAGAAACCTGTCCCTGCACTTGTTTAACTGATAGGTATAGAGGTGGGGTGGGAGTGAGCCTTTAATTAACCCACAGAACTACAAAGCACTGTATTAATAGCTTTCACTCAACATTGCAGCTAGTAAAGCCATGACTTTGTATCATAGCCTCTGTTAGTCTCAGGGAGCTACTTGCATCCAACCATCTGGTTATGCTACTGCTTTTGGGTGATAGACTGCTTTCAACCTTAGCACTGTTGTTAGTGTCACCACTGCTCCCACCGGCACTGTTCCCCAACACTGCTCCACATGTGGCTGCAGCTGGTGAGCCAGTGGCATTGCTAGCATTGCCACTAGCCTTCCTGGGCACACTGCAGTCCCTGGGTGCATTTGACATGAACCAGTGTGGCTCTCCACTCAGTCACTGGGGCAAAGAAAATACGGAGATATCTCTTTTATATTTCTTTAGAATGGGCCCCCAACAAAAATATCTCAGCTCAATTCCGTTCTTTCAGCTTATATATGTGTTTAATTATTTTCTCCCAAGTATTCTCCCCCTGACCCCAACCTCACTTTCCATGCCACATGTGTCTGGATTGAGATGAATTCTGGTATCAGCCACTTAAACGATGCCAGAATCAATACTCTCTTTCTCCCTTCAGTCTACTTTTTCTGGCTCACTATTTCAGTCTTCTTTTATCATGAAATGTCTCTCCAAGGCCCTATTTGCTTTCCTGGAAAGGCCTCCATTAAAGGTACAGTAGTTCATTTTATATATAAATACCCTTGAACTTCACTGGTGGACAGCTCCAAGTAATTTTCTTTTATCCCAAGAGATCTTCCATCCCAATACAAACTAACAAATGCAAAGTGACATGGAATGAAAGAAGTTTGACCATCTATGACATCAGTAATCACTGAATATCAGAAAATATTTTAAAAGTCTTCCAATTCTCTGGAGAAGATCAAGGAATTTAAACATTTGTCCATTACCATGCTTAGCTATTTAGTGTAGTTCTAGTCAGTAAATGTATATGAGTTAACTACCTAAGATTAACCAAAAAACTCACCCCAAAATATTAGAAGGAACAGTGCAAGGTACCCAGGAAAGGTGAATAATTGTACCTATTCACATTAGCCAGACTGGAAGCTCCCATTATTCAACAACCAGTAATGTAATGACTACTTTCCTATCAAAATTTATAAGGCATACAGGAATGTGGAAAAATACAATCCATAATAAAGAGAATAGTCAATTAGGAGAAACAGACACAGATGTGATACACATGTTAGAATTACCAGGTGACATTGAAATGATTATTTTAGCTGAATTTATTCAAAAATACAAATTAAGGTATGAAATCTATAAAATCAGATCTGAATCAAACTTTTACAGATGAACAATATGAGACAAAAATTGAATTCAAAGACATTAATGGAAGTTTAGACATCGCAGGAGACTAAGGATCTTGAATATATAGCAATAGAAATTGGTCAAAATAAAACACAGGTTCAAAAACTAAAATTAAACAATGAGATATGGGCCCTCATACCCAGGGCCCTGAGATATGTGTATATGCTATTGGAATTTCCAAAAGGAAAAAAGAGAAAATAGTAGAAGAAAGAATGGCTGAATTTTTTTTCAAATTTGAAGAAAACTATAAACTCATGAATTCAAGAAGCTCAATGGATCTCAAGCAAAAGAATCATAAAACAAACTACACCAACACACACACAATAAAATCACTCAAGATGTGGACTAAATAGAAAATCTTAAAAGTACCAGAACCAAAATGGCGCTAAGGGAGAGACACATCCCGGGAAGTAAAAGACAGATGGGGATGACGGTGACAGCATATTTCCTGCTGAAGACAATACAAGTAAGGAGACAAAACTGCCCACCTAAAATTCTACACCCAGAAATAATGCACCTACACAAAGAAATAGAGACTAGAAATGGTTGCTAAATACATAATATATAAGATTTTATTCTATGTAAATATCTTTAAAAGATGATTGAATACTTAGACAAAAAGAGTGTAGTATTGTATGTAGAACATGTATAAAAGTAAAATACATTTAACTACTATATAAAAAATAATAGCACAGAGGCAGAGAGGGAGGAAATGGTAGTATACTATTATGAAGATCTTGTACTATATGTGGAGTTGTTTAACACTGCTTGAAGGTAAGTTGTGATAGGCTTAAGGTATATACTATGATGAATTCTAAAGTAATCACTAGAATAACAAAACAAAAACTATGATTCTAGCTAATATCCCAATAAAGAAGATAACATGAAATTTAAAAAATGCTCTATTATTTCACCAGCAGGCATAGAGAACAAAAAGTGGATAGAACAAATTTAAAACAAATATCAAAGTGGTAGATTTAAACCTAGCCATAGCAATAATTATTTTATTGACTGTTATTACCTAAACACCCCAATTAAAAGGCAGAAATTGTCAAATTTGATTTTAAAAGGTACAATTCTATACTATCTTAGTCTAAAATAATTCATGTGAATCATAAAGCAAATACATTTTTATAAAAGAATATAAAAATATATACCATACAAACACTAACCATATGAGGAGGTAGGTATAGCTATATTAATAAAAAACCAGTTAAAATTCAGAACAAGGAATATTATAAAAAATAAAGATAGCTACATTTTTAATAATAGAAATATTGAAATCTTCAAACATAATAATCGCAAATATGTAAGTAATCACACAGTTGAAAAGATAAGCAAACTCACAAGTATATTTATATTGCATGTAAAAACATTTATTTTTTAACGAATTGGCTCATATGATCATCAGGTTGGCAAGTCTGAAACCTTCAAGGCAGGCCCACAGGCTGGAAACTAAGCCAGGGGTTGATGTTGTATTCCTGATTGCAATGAATCAGAACTGAACTTCTTAGGGTGACAGACTAGAGTGAAGTTATGTGGGTGAAAAAAATCATTCAAGGAGCATCAGACCACGTACTTCAAAAGGGATTCACTTTATGGTAGGTAAACTGTACTCATTATTGTAGGTAACTGTACTTATTCAAGGAGAGTCAGCAATCCCTTCAAAAGGGATTCACTTTATTGTAGGTAAACTGTACTCAATAAAATTAGAGCATATTTTTAGGTAATACTGTATATACTTATTGCAACAAGTCAGAGAATAGAAACATATTAAAAATTTAATAATCTCACCCTCCCCAAATTCTACTTCCCTGAAGGAAGCAAAGGTAAAAGATTCCTCACTGCTGCCTTCCTTAATACCACTCTTTCAGACCTGTCCCTGGTCCTCAAGGGCAGTTCTGATCCTGCTGGCCCCTAACCAGCAGTGTTCTTCAGAATTCTGTCCTAAAATAGTTTGTTACATTGATGAAGACATCTTCCTTATTTATCTTACATTCATTATTACCTCAAAGATGATGATGTGAAAATCCAATATTATTGATACTGACTCTCTTGTTCAACATTTTTTTTTCTTTCTGCCACATATTCGAAGAACAGGGGCACACATTTAATACATAAACATCAACAAAAACTGAGTAGCCAAAAAAAAAAAAAAAAGTCCATGCATTTATTTAGGGTTTGAAGGGAAGACGAATTCTTATTTATGAGGCCAGTCATGTTAGTTGTTTCATAAGCTGTGGGGGTGAGATGTCATTCTGTTGACAGAAGGGATAATCCCTGCCACAATTCCTTTTTGTGATATGGGCCACCACAGATAAGCAAAAACGTCCTCACAAAATCAGCACGAGGCCTGCAGCTCCCAGGTTGAACATTCCCAAAATGTCCTGTGAGAATGTCTCTGTGAACGGGTCATCTTCCGCCAAGCTGCCCCTTGCCTGCATTCACTTCCGTCACTGTTGAATGACACCATTATTCACTCAACCTTCTCACCAGAAACTGGGAAATCAATTCAGAAAATGATAGACAAAGAATAATAACCTTTTGACTTTTTTTTTGTTTGTTTTCAGTTTTTGGCTGGGGCTGAACCTACCACCTCTGGTATATGGGGGTGGCGCCCTGCTCACTGAGCCACAGGCACCACCTGAATAATAACCTATTGGATTCACAGCCTTAGTTTTAAGGAGAATAGTAGAATCAGCTGGACGAGAGCAAACCCTGCTTTCACTACATGGTTTACAGTCTCCTTCTAGTAAATGCTGCTTTGACCCAGTGGTTCTCAACCTTCCTAATGCCATGGCCCTTTAATACGGTTCCGGTGGGTCATGACCCATAGGTTAAGAACTGCTGCTTTGACCCAAGAGAAAATGATAGTTAATGTCACCTGCAGCAACATATCACGTTACACACATGGTCTGCAGAAGGGAGAGTTAGGAAGGAAACTTCCATGCCTCGGAATGTTCATCATCTATGTCCATTAGCTGACCGTCCAGGAGTTTCCCTCCAGCCCCATCACTCTTATTGGGGTATTGAAATAATTTCTTAATTGGATGCCTGGCTTTAACTCCCAAAGATTCAATCCAGACCCCTGTCCCCATATTGCTATGAAGTATTCATTCTAGAAAAAGTCTCAATGATTTAGAACTGTATATGAGGCCCTCCCCGAGAGGATTGCCGATAGCTGTTCACAACGTACTTTCACCCTGTGTTTTTCCCTGAACTCGATACACTGGTCCCTCTTCCAGCTTTCACTTCACTC